TTGATCGCTTATCGAGTAGATCTCGATGCCCTCGGTCCATCCCGCCACCGCGTCTGAGGGTCTAGGGCAAGAGTTCTCAGAGGTGTTCCTTCGGATCTCTACGGGCCGCTCTCGGGGACCTCGTGTGGGCAGTTTTGGGGCCCATTGGGTGCCTCCTGGGTACCTTTTGGGGCCTCTCGGGCGCCCCTTGGCCTTGGGGGTTCGGCTTCTTGAGGGCCTCCCGGGGCCTTCCCGGGGGCCTTCGGGGCCGAGCTTGAATTGTCCGTGCGGATTCCACATCCGGGCTCCCTCTTGGCGCCGTCTTGGGGCCCTTGGGGCCCTCTTGGGGGCCTCTGGGACCGTCCAGGGGCGATATTGGGGGCCTCGCGGGCCGTCTTGGAACGTCGGAAAGCCGAACAGGCGAGAAGGCCAAACATTTCCAAAAACCTCAAGAAGATCAGTGACTTGTTCTTCTTGGGGCCCTCTTGGGACGCCTCTTGGGTCAGTCTTGGGACGTCTTCGGGGCCTCTGAGGTTGCGTTGAGGCCGTCTTGGGCGCATTGGGGTATTCTCGGGTCTTTTCGGATGCATCGTCGGCCGTTTCGGACGTTTTTTTCGGTCCATGCCTGACCAGCTGCGCTGCCGGAGGACGCGCGCGACGCGCAAGGGGAATCTCGGGAAATTCCCAGCAATCCCCGAACATCCACAGAGACCCCAAGAAATCCATCTGAAACCAGTGGCTTGGGCCTTGGAAGTATTTTAAAACCCTACAGCGCTGCACCTCCCAGGGCTGCATGAGCTTTGGGGCGCTCCAGTATGCGTGCTGCAGGCTCGGCTGCGGTTCTTGCTTGGCGGCGTGACCTGGCACTCGAAATGTTGTGCCGTGCCGGTGCAAGTGCGAAACATGACGGTGCTGTGGTGGCAGCGCGTGCGGCCGAAACCACGCGCGAGCTGGTGGCTTGTATGGTACTTTGGGCCCGTTCTTATCGTGACCAGTCGGTGGCAAAGCTGCGCGCGTAATACATCATCGTTTGGCCAAGAACGAAATTGCAACGAGTGGGGCGGGCCGCCATTGCTGCATGGGCTCAAAGCGCCCGCCTCGCCCGCTCCAGTTTCGCCTTGAGCAGTGAGTGGCCGAAACCACACACGAGTTTGTGGTTTCTGTAGTTCGCTTTGCCCGCCCCGCTCGTTGTCAGTCGGTGGCAGCGCCGTGCCTGTAGAACAACGTCGTCTGGCTACGAACGGAAACGGGGCGATTACCATTTCTTTTCAGCCACACGGATTGAAATCGAACGTGTTACATGATGCGGGTCTTTATCTAGCGTTGCGCACATGCGCCTCCGAATCGGCCGGTGATATATACACACGTTTGCGAGCAATTGCGTGCACGCTTCGAGGGCGTTTTTTTTTCCTCCAAACTGGAGGCACGGACGGCAGCTCCTCTTCGAGGGCGTGGCTGTCTGCGTGACGCTGCAAGACCGTGTGTCCGAGGCGGGAATTTACACATGACCAGCGCCTGGAGGGTCAGTTTTCGGAGCCTCGGCAGGCGGCGGACATGGGCACCTTCCGGCCCCCGGGGGCCGAAATATATCCATATCCACTGCCCGCTGGGGCACGCTCGTCTTTCAAGGAGGCCCTTCCCGCAGTGAAGAGGAGTCCTTGCTAGAGCTGCTGAGCGGGGGGGGGCTTGGGACGGGTGGGCGTATTGCAACATCATCAATGCACGTTGAGCTTGCTATGGTCACTTTTCCTCCTTCCTTCCCTCCTGTATCCCTTCCTGTTTCTCGCCCCCCGCGTGAACGCGACGACGACGACGGCGACAACGTCCGGCGGCGGCGGCGGCGGTGGCGGCCGCGGCGGCGGCGGCGGCGACTTCGTACGAGGTACGCGCCCGTGGGCTTCGCCAGCACACTCGCTCAGGACAACAACTTGGTCCTCGCGGCGGTGCTCGTGCTCTTCCTCATCTTCGGCCTGTCGCGGAGCTTCGCTGCCACCGTTGGCCCAAAGGTGAACGAACAGTGCACGCTTCTCCCCCTTGGGGCGCTTCAGGGACATCCCAAAGACCATCTTGGGCGTCTTGGAGGCCTCTTGGGCCGTCTTGTGGCCCTGCGGGGGCCGTCTTGTGGCCCTGCGGGGGCCGTCTTGAGAGCCTCCTGGGCCGTCTAGGAGCCATCCTGGATGCCTCTTGGGTGATCTTGGGGCAATCTTGTGAGCCTCTTGGGCCGCCTTAGGCCGTTTTGATGCCAATGCCAGCATTTGTTGAACACCAATCACTGATTTTGGTCTCGTCGGGCCTTCCTGATGGACTTCTTGGATGCCTCTTGGGCCGTCTTAGGGGCTTCTTGGATGCCTGTTGGGCCGTCTTGGCCCATCTTGGAGCTGTCTTGGGCCGTCTTTGTGGCCTCTTGGGTGGACTTGGAGGCATCTTGGTTCCTGTTGGGCCGTCTTGAAGGCCATATTCGACCATGTTGGATGGAAATGGACGCCAACTCGGGCCATCTTGGCCGTCTTGGAGGCCGTCTGCGCCGTCTCGGACACGCTCTTTTACGCAGCGGCGCAACCTTCCATGTGGCCTGCGCGCTGGGCCGAAGTCCCAGGGGGAGTTCTCAAAAGAACCAAGAGCCACGTGTCGTTCAGCACGCGGGGCACCTCTGTGTTCAATCAGCAGGGGGCGGCGGATGACGGAAAGCGCGCGTTAGCGTGCGGTCCGTTAGTCGGAAGAAATTTGACTTGGGGGAGTTCGAGGGGCATCGCTGGGCCCGGATCTAGTTGCCCTCCCGCCTCGTTTTTTATCGAGTAGGGCGGTCTTCGGGGCTTAAGCACAGCGTTTCGCTCGAGACATCATCGGAAAACGCTTCTTGGGCGCTTCTTGGGCCGTCTTAGGCGCCTCAGACAGCCCAAGAAGCGGCCAAGACGGCGCCCAAGACGGCCCAAGACGGCCCAAGAAGCGCACAAGACGGCCCAAGAGCGCTCCAAGAGAGCCCAAGACCGCCCAAGGCGGCCCCAAGACGTCCCAAGAGGCCTCCACGACGCCCCAGGAGGCACCCACGAGGCGTCCCAAGAGGGCCCCAAGAGGGCAAAAACATTGATTTTCTTAAGGAAAACGTGCATTTGTAGCATCTACGGCTTTTCGCCTTTCATGGCGTTGAAGACGGTCCAAGAGGCCCCCAAGACCGCCCCAAGACGGCCCAAGATGTTCCCAAGAGGCCCCCAAAATAGCCCAAGAGGGCGCCAAGACAGGCCAAGAGGCGTCCAAGACTGTCCAAGAGCCCCCCAAGAGCGCCCCGCGCCCCAAGAAGGCCCAAGAGGCCCCCAAGAAGGCCCCAAAATTGCCCAAGAGGGCGCCAAGACGGCCCAAGAGGCGCCAAGACGGCCCAAGACGGCCCCAGGACGGCCCAAAGAAGGCCCCAAGAGGCCCCCAAGAGAGGCCAAAGACGACCAAAGGCAGCCTAGTCCCTTACCCCCGCAGCCCAGAAGCTCCCAGGAGACCCCAAGAGGCCCCCGAAAAGCCCCAAGAGGTCCCCAAGAGGCACCCAAGAGGCTCCCCAAGAGCCCCCCAAGAGGCCCACAATACTCTCAAAGGCTCTTAGCACCGCGGCTCCCAAGAGCGAGCGGTGACGTAATCGAGCTGGTAAGACCAAAGCTCCCGACCGAGAGCTGCGACGTAATAAGTTCTTGACGCCCGGGCACAGGGACGGGCGGCAACGCGTGGACAACGAGCGGTCCACGCAAGGAACACGCGGGGTTCTGGAAAGCTGGCAGCCCAAACGCGGAAAACGCAACGCGACCCGACCGCCCCCTCCAAAACAAGAAACGCGCTCAAAGAAGCTCCGCGACTCTCCGAGGCTGAGATAGGACAAGAGCGAGGGGAAGGGAGTCAATAAGAGGTGTAAGAGCGGACGAGCCAGCGATCTCGTGCGCTCTGAAAGTAAGTGCGCTTTCCGTCCCCGTGCCAAGCAGGTCTAGTGGCCCCAGGCCCATCCCTCCACCGTGCCTGGGTTGTAGGTCAGAGGCCTTCTGGATGCCCGTGAGGATCTCCTGGAAGGCCTCTCGGATGCCTCTTGGCGGCAATTTTGGATGTCTTCTGGCATCTTGGGGGCCCCTAGGGTCCTGATTTTGGCCTCCCCGGGCCTCGTGAGGGCCTCGTGGGCTTCTTGGGGCCTCTTGGGCGCACCTCGGGGAGGGAACTTGAAGCGGAGGGTTCAACATTTCAGCTCATGTTCCCCTCATGGGGCCGTCCTGGGGGCCTCGGTGGCCCCACTTGGGTGCTATTGTATTGTTTTGGGGCGATCTTGGGTGCCTCTTAGGGCGTGCGAAGACCACACAAAAACACTGAAGTTGACGATTTTGGCTTCTTGGGCCGCCCTCTGGGGCTTCCAAGACCGCCCAAGAGGCGCCCAAGAGGGCTACAGGACGGTCCCCGGGGCTATCTGAAATCATGTTGGACATGCATGTCCAGAACAACGCATTCTTTGCCGGGGGGGCCCTTCGAGACTGCGCCAGAGTGCCCAGGAGCGCCTGGAACTCTGGGCTGCGGGCCACTTCAAGAATGTTAACATAATCCAATAGAGAACTCGCCGGGATCTGGGGACATTCCCACTCGTGCCTCAGGGCACGGTGGCGTATATATGTGCACATGTACAGTTGTGCTGCTATCGAGGGCCGCGGCGTTGTAGAAACCAAGCGCGCGCGAAGCGGGGCGCCGTGAGAGGCGGTCGGGGCTGAGCTGGCACGGGGCGGCATTCTCAGGGAGTGCAGCCAGATGCAGGGACAAAATTTGCACGTGCGGCGTGCACTGAGCGGCAGTAAAAGCAAACACACATATATATATATATATATATATATATATATATGTATGGGCATACAATTTATATTATACATACATACATACATGCATGCAAACATACATACATATAGGTGTACATATTTGTTAAATGTGCGTATATGTGTATATCGTTTTCCTGCCACTCTTTCTCCTCCTTGCCGACCTGGGAGGACCATGAACACCATGAAGCTGTACAGGTACATCAGACTTGCTACCCTGCCAATGCGAGCAGGCTTCATGGCGCTTGTTGTCCTGAGGACGCTCGGGGCGGCGAATGGGGCACCCGTTGGGAGCAACAAGAAACAACGCAGAAGACGCCCCCACCCGCCGCGTTTGGGCAGTGCTCTCACCGAGTCTGTCCCTCCCCGTTCCCTGCCCTTTGTCCCTTCCCTGCCGCTCCTTCCGTCCTGCTCCCGCCCGTCCTCCTCTGTCCCCCCACCCCTGGTTGATTGCGGTGCCCTCCTCGCCTCCTCAAATCCTTCTCTTCCGCAGCGCCCAGGCCAAACGGTGCTTCGGCAATTTCGTGGGCCGGTTTCGTTTTACTGTCGTTTCTCCACAGGCGGTGCGACGACAAGACGATGGACAACGAGAACAAAACGACTTTGGAAAGCACTGTTTAGCTGGAGCCCTGCTCCCCTGGACTCCCCTGTGCTGCCCTCCCCTGCTTGAGCTTCTCCAGACATTTGCGCATGATTCCTCGGGAACCGTGGCACCTCCCCACTGATCCCCTGTGGATGTGCCCTCCCCCTTCGGGCGCGTGCGTGCGCGCGTGTGGGGGGTGGGCGGGCGGGGGAGGGGGGGGATTCATTCCTATCATGTTAGGATGGTGATGGCGATGCGGATGACGATGATGATGATGATGATGATGATGATGATGGTGAACATGATCATGATGCTGATGATGATGCAGATGCTGCTGCTGCTGCTGCTGCTGCTGATGATGATGATCGATGATGATGATGATGACGATCGTCATGATGCTCATGTTGATCGATGAGGATGTTGGCGATGCTGGCGATGATGATGTCGACGTTGACGATGATGGCGATGATGCCGATGATCTGTATGATGCTGCCGATGTTGTTGTTGTTGGGGATGATGATCATGCTGCTGCTGCTGATGATGATAATTATGCTGCTGATGCTGAGTATGATGGCAATGGTGATGAGGATGATGGTGATGCTGATGGTGGTGGTAATGATGGTCATGGTGGTGATGACGATGTTGATGCGACGATACTGATGATAATGGCGATAATGCTGCGTTTGATGATGGCGAGGATGATGGCGATGACTTCGCTCGTGATGATGCTTCTGCTGATGATGACATTGATGATGGTGCTGATTACCATGGCGATGATGAAGATGCTGGTGGTGATGATGATGATGATGATGATGATGACGATGATGATCGTGATGCGCATGATGGTGAGGTTGCTGCCGATGCTGATGATGCTGATGCCGGTGGTGATGGTGATATTGGAAATTCTAGACGCTTCGCGTATCCCCACCAGCCCGTCCAGAAACGACGCCCAGGCGAGTAGAGGGTCGTCCTGAGGGGCTTTTCGGCGTCTTGGGTGCCTCGGGGGGGCCTCTGTGGGCCGTTCGGGATCCTCTTTGGGGCCTCCTGGGGGCCTCTTGGGGCCTCTTGGGGCCATCTTGGGGCCTCTGGGAGCACCTTGGGTGCCTCTGGGGGGTCTCTTGGGGCCTCTTGGGGGTCTCTTGGGGGCCTCCTGGGGGCCTATTGGGGGGCCTCTTGGGGCCATCTTGGGGCCATCCTGCGGCCTCTTGGGGCATCCTGGAGGCCTCTTGCGGCCATCGTGGAGGAAATCGATCAAAGAAGAGGGGAGCCTTAGTTAGCGTTGCCCCCTCAGAAGGCCAAATTGGGGCCTAAACCTTAAGTAAAATCAATGATTTTGGCTTCCTCGGCGAGGCCGTTTTGGACGCTCTGACCGCTCCCCGCTCCCCCTGTTCAGGTCAGTGGGGAGGGGGTAGGGGGAGGGGTAAACCCCTCCCCGAAGGGGAAGAAGGAGGGGTGGAAGAGGAAACTCGTTAAACCACCGACACCCTAAAGGGCTGGTGGGATTGCGATGGTTCTGATCATAATGACGATGGTGATGCTGCTGCTTTCGATGATGATTCTGATGATGCTCATGATGATGGTGATGGTGATGATGGTGCTGTGGTGAGGATGGTCATGGTGTTGGTGACGATGTTGATGCCGATACTGATGATGATGGTGGTGATGGTGTTGCTGATGCTGATAGGGAGAAGGGAGACTTTGTCGGCGATGCTTTATATTTTGCTGCGAATGGTAATTTCGATGCTAATGCTGATGCTCAGGACGATGATGGTGACGCTGCGGATGAGCATGGTGATCATGCTGATGCCGGTGCTGATGCTGATGCGGATGATGATGGTGGTGGTGGTGATGATGGTGGTAAAGGTGCTGGTGATGCTGGCGAAGACGATGGCGGCGATCGTGGCAATCGCGATGATGCCGATGATATCGGGGATGATGATCGTGATGCTGTTGATGGTGATGATGGTTGATGGTGATGCTCGTGATGATGAGGATGTTGATCATGATTCAGGTTATGATGGTGATGGTATTGGTGGCAATGGTGGTACTGCTGATGATTGTGGTGATGATGGTCATGGTGGTGGTGGTGAGGATGGTGATGATGATGATGATGAT